TTCATGATAGCTGCCCATTGTTTAGATCCCCTCAAATATTACAGCAACAGTCACTTAACCTTTTCCCTTATATATTCTCAAAAAAAAAAAAAAAAGCAACTGCACCCTAACTTCTCCATTTGCCAATAACAAAATGAAGGATTAAAAGAAAGTGCTTATTAATTATTTCCCTTTTTTTTATGAAAAATTTACAAAACTTGCACACAATTATTATGTATTTACATAATCACATCTAAACTTTCATATTTACATATATAGCAGTTTGTTGCTTTAAAATTATGCACGAAAAGGAGTATTTCACTTTTAAAAAGTGATAATAGTGCTATTTGTGATATGATATTAAAGATTTGAGTGATATGTGTGTAAATATGAAAGTGTAGTTGTGAGACATGTGAATTGTGAGCTATTTACGTAAATGCCCTTTTTTTTATTGCAGTTACTTGTAATTTGCCTCCTTAAACAAAGCTTATACAGAATATTATGTGATGTACAGAATCTGCCTAAAAAAATCAGTAAAAGATAAATTGAACTCATCTGTATTAACTATATTACAATAATACACTTAGTAATAATAAAACATGTCATGCCAGATAATGCAGAACATGTGCACTTGCTTGTCACAAGCCTAACACATGTCGGACATGCCATCCATATGCTCAATTAAAAAAATATAAAAAATTAACAGGCATCTGTCTAAGCACATGTTTTGAATAATAAAATTTAACTTCAAAAGTGTACCATATAAACAATTAAGTTGTCTATTGCGCAAGAAAACTAAAAGCTACTAACAATAATTTCATTTTATTCACAACTCTATTTTGTCCATGATTTTCTTATGACATTTATTTTTCATTATTTTATAAAAGAATCAACTTTCTCAACTACAAGCTAACAATCTACAAGATCATGGAACTTTCTTCTTTAGTTGAGTTTAAGTTATTTAATAAATTTAAATATACTTATTATTCTATGAGCAATTGAAATAATTTCATTCCATATTTATTTAATTTTCCTGTAACCATTTGGTATCACATATGTATCTGTATTGATGCATTATAGATATTACTGTATTTTATTCCCAATTAACATACGTACTTGTTAGGTATGGCTCATATTCCAGATAAGAAACAGATGTTGGAGCGGAACGGAGCGAGCCAACAAAGTGGAAGCATCTGTCCAATCGAGGGAGTTTTGTTAAGTGGGTTGGGGATGCAGGGGCAACACCCCCGCTGTACGGTACAGAGATAATTTTGTAATTACATATTGTACACCAAGGCTATATATGTGTCGTATTTATAACCCTAAGGGGATTTTTGTACTATTTTCGGTGAAATCTAAAGAAGCCGCCGCTCTGCCCCCGAGGACGTAGACAATTTGTCGAACCTCGTTAAATCTCTGTGTTTTCTTCTTGATTTCGATGATTCTTGTGTTTTCTTTGCCTTAGATCCTCAACAATACTATATACTCAAATACCAAGTCACGAACCCAAGCCTTCTTACTTAAATAACCAGACTGCCGATCACCCTAACAGATTAAAAAAATCCTTTTTTTTTTTTTTTTTTGAAAAGATCAGCCCATTGAAAAAAAAAGACCACATCATCTACGGTCGTTTGAAATTCTTTGATCCAGTTGGAAGACGCGTATAATCAATAATAAATACATTCAACAATTTTTGAGGAAAACCCTGTTGATCGGGACAGAGGACACCCATAACATAATCAACATCGAGTTGTCCCCCCCTCCATAGGAATTAAGTGGTATGTATGTAAATCTTCCTAAGAACTGAGAATGCTTCATCAGCTGGACATCCCAAAAACAATTTTATAACTAACACATTTAACCGCTAGGCAATAAAAAAGGCTTACTGATTCCTCTCTGCCCCGCTTCAGGCTAACTCTCTTCTCATCCAGCTCTGCAAGCTGCTTTGTGCAATTCAAGAGATCGGATTCTAGTTTGTTGTGTGCATTTCTCAGCTGTTTGCCAAAATCAAAAGTATGAGAAAAAATATATTTTTTATACTAGAAAATTTACATATGCAGCACAATTCTTATTTATTTACATATCTCACACCTAACTCTCATATTTACATACATAGCACTTTTGTGCATTAAAGCTAAGCATGAAAATGTGTATTTGACTTTTGAAAGTGCTAATAATATTATTTTTTATGTGATAGTGCTACGTGTGTAAATATAAAAGTTTAGATGTGAGATATGTCAATTCATAAGAATTGTGTGCCAGATATGTAAATGACCCTATAATTTTTTAATAAAAAATAAAAGGGAAAATAGAAAACAATTGGATAGCCAATTGAACTACTTGACGAGAAGGCATAATACCTGATTTCCAGCGCAGCTAGGAAGACTCCAAAAATATACCTGGATGAGTAAATAGCAAGCAAAATAAATTGGAAATGAACAAATATATAACGAACGAAAGAAAAAAATGAAGAAAAAAAAAACTCTTCATGTAGCTAAATATATTAATGGAACAAAATTAAGATCTGCCCCAGTTAATGTTAGAATGAGCTCCAAAATTTGACATGCAGAATTTCTATCATATTTAAAAAGCAATTCATAGAAAATACAAGAAAAATGAAGCTATATGTCATGAAATTTAAAATAAAATAAAATAAATCATTAAAATATTTGCATGTAATTAATTTAACAATTGCATTAAAAGTGAAATAGAAATTCCCCAAATACATATAGCAATCGGGAAGTCCAGCATTAAATGCTTTGTGACAATAAATATTGGAGAAATATGCCTATTACTTGTTTGCTTGGAGAAATATTCCTGAATATTCATTTCAGATGAAGTTACCCCCTCTTATTTGAGGGGGTAACGAGCAGGATTGTCTTATTGAAAGTTACCCCCTCGTATATTCACGGATTGTTTATTGAAACACGTCAAGCAAGAAATTAGTTAAAATAAAGCTTCGAACAAGACTCAAATAAAGTTTAGGCATGATTTGAGAACAATTCAAGTATGGTTTAATCAAAGTTCGAGCAGGATTTTAGATGAGTTCAAGCACAATTGGAGCAGGATTTTAGATAAGTTGATGCACAACTCCAGCAAGACTTCAACAGTATTCAGACATAGTTCAAAAAAGTTAAAACACAGCAAAATTGACAATTTAGATTTTATCCATTAGCTTAACATTGATTGGGTCTTGAGATCAGCTAAATTTGTAATTTGAAGATGCAGTCTAAGCAGGGAAATCATTGGGGCCTCAATTTTGTCCTTCCCATGCTCCTTACTACTTTTTTATTTCATGTTAAAGAGTAAAATATCTTATTCTCACACAAAAGGGTTACCTTTTGAACTATCTTCTATTACGTATGTATGAGGAGTGGAGTTTGTGCTACAGAATTCAGTGGAGAAGGTATTGTGGGACTGACAATGTTTGATGGAGCTTGCTTGTTGAAACAACAAAGTTCAAACAACAATTTGGACCTTTGTTTAAACCAATTTATTTAGTGAAGAACTTCAGTAAGTAATTTACAAATCCAAGAAAGGTAGCTTGATAAACTTTTAAGTGAAGTTTGCATGGTTTAAACAACAAAGTCTGTACAATGATTCAAACGTTTGTTTAAACCAATTTATTTCGTGATGGACTTCAACAAGTAATTCACAAATGCAAGAAATACAACTTAGCCCCCGTTTGGGACAGCTTAAATGTGCGGCGGCGTTTTTTAAAACGCCGCCATAGCGTTTGAAAATCACGTATTGCCTGCGTTTTTGAGAACAGCTTTTTTTATTTATATTACACGCGGATCGCGGGTATATCCCCGCGATCCGCGTTTCGGCTCCAAAATTTCCTTCGGCTACCCTCAACCCCGCAGCCGACCTTCCTTCGCAAGTGTTGCTCGATCTCGCCTCCGTCGCTCCTCCGCAGGTAACAAAACAATCGCCTCCGTCGCTCCTCCGAAATAAACTTGCAGGCATATTTCTTTAAGCAGACAAACAACTGGCATTTTTCTTCAATTTTTGCTATTTCAAGGCAAATAAAGCAAATTTTTTTTAGTGATTTGACAAAAAAAAAACAATTTAATGAAGTATTTTTTTATGAAATCTATGTCAAAAAAACAAAATAATAACACACAAATGGCTCTATTTAAGGTATTTCATTTGACATGTCAAGCATCTTCACACCATGTGAGAACGTATTCGATGAAAGTGTCAATTGTTGTAGTCAATCGTAATGAGAAATGCTTCAAGAAATTCAGACTCAATTTTTTCCCATATTAATTGAACAATATAGGAAAATTTTTTATTTTGGTCAACTATAACAGAGACGAGAAAAATTCTAAAAGCAGAAAAACTGGCTAGAAAATAAAAACCTGCGAATTATAAATATACAACAGAACAACATACATAGCACCAAAGTCAATGAATAAATTGCTCCGAGATTGCACTCACAGAAGTGCCTATCTTGTCTTTCAAAACCAGATCATCATCTACCAGGCTTTGGACAACATCTTTGACAGATTGGCTGATTACACCTCTCTTAGGACCCAATTTCTCCAACTCTTTAAGCTGATATGTTAAAATACATATAAATTATAAAAACAATCAATTAAAAATCAAATTATAGAAATTGTGCTCAAGATTCCAAAAGGAATTAAACAGGAGAAAGATTAGCACTTGCGGAATAAATAGAGTTCACAGAAATTCAAAAACCATGCAGCTAAAATTAGATCAGGAATTCTGAGTATTAAGAAAGATAGATGTGTGATTTAGGATACACATTCAAGAAATCCAAGGGTACCATTAATTAATCATGTATTTGAATTATCAAAGACTCATCACCCATAGCCTCATCTACAAATCACTAATGATACTGAAGCCAAAATAATCAGGTGTCAAAATTCAAAATTTTATAAATTAGGTGTGTCTTCATAAAAGACTGGTTGAAATAATGATAATTTTGGATAGAAGTAGTCATGTTGATGAAAAGATGGATACAGATATCTCCAAAGTTAGAGTTCGAAAGGTATAGTATAGTTTATGACCTCCATAGTTATTTAAAAGGAGTCCTTAAAATACCTTTGTATAAATTAAAATAATTTGTGATCTACTTATGAAATGAAGGCTCTTTAAGTGCTTATGTTCAAGCCAAAAAATATTTAATATTTATTTTTAAGATCAAATAAAATTTGCATTTCTTCTCAACTTCATAGTTCATGAGTTTAATATGCATATTAGATTCAAGTTCAACTTCCAACGTGTACAATAAAAAAAACAAACTTGTTTAGAATTCAAATCCCAAAATAATAAATTACACAGTAATCACACCAATACAACTTGTTTTTCTCGCGAGTCTCTAAGCCTTAGTAAAAATGATAGCATCACACATTTGGTGTAGGTTTTGGGAGAGGGGAAATAATTATTCCTCTTCAATTTCATAGAAAATGATTACAAGATAAATAAAGGGGGATTGCTCTCATATTAGGAAAGCAATAATATCATTCATAACTCCACATGATAAAAGAAGAAAACAAAAATTATGAAATACCAATAATCTAAATTCTAAAAAGAGAAAATACTAAAAATAGAATATACTAAAAATAAAGTCTTGCTAAAAATCCAACACCCCCCTCAACTTGGAGCATGATATCTATTATGCCCAAATTGCTTACAAGAAGAAGGCTTGAACAACCTTTTGGTGAGCAGTAGAAATAAATGACATGAAAAATTAGATCTGCAGCTTTTCAAGAAATTTTTTCAACCATAACATCTCACATACTCCACTAGCCATAGCCCTATATTTTTTCAACCAAATTTCCCCACACAAAGGTGCAATATCCAGAAGCTAGTCTCAGGTCAATAACTGAGTCTGTCTAATCTGCATCAGTGCACTCTTTTATCCTCTTTTGTGTGCTCTTCTAAAGAATGAATCTTTACCTAGTGTACCTTTTAGATCTTTAAGAATTCTTTTGAGTACTTCAAGAAATTTCTCATAGGTCGAATGCTAAAATGACTTACCAAACTCACTGCAAAGGCAATATATGATAAGTATATCAACTTCCCCATCAATTTTTGATACATAACCGTATCCACTACATCACCTTCCTTCCCATCTTCTAGTTTCTCATCGGGATCAATTGATGTTTTTGCAGATCTACACACACTCATCTCAGATTCTTTCAGAAGATCAAGAACATATTGTCATTGGAACCAACAATTCATTTCTTCGATCGAGCAACCTGCATGCCAAAAAAATACCTCAGAGATCTTAAATCTTTGGTTTCAAAGATAGAAGATAGGGAAACCTTCAAATGGTTTATCTCGTATCCATCATTTACGGTGATAATAATATTATCAACATATACAATCAGTATGGTTATTTTTCATTATTTGAATGTCTGAAAAATATTATATGATCTCCCCGTCATTGAGTATAGCTCTGACCTTTAATAAATAGTGTAAATTTCTCAAACCACGCATTTGGTGACTGTTTTAACTCGTACAAGAATTTTTTTAGTATGCATACTTTTGTGTCAAATTTCTCATTAAATCCCGGAGGTGCATTCATATATATTTCAATCAACTAAAACTACCCCATCATTCTTATTCCAGCTATTTTGGGTTAAATTTTAAAATTTTTATTTTTCACCATTTCCTAATGAGTGTTTTTTGAGTTATTAAACCACTTTTTTGCAAATTATTTTGAACAATTTCTATCAATGTTATCATAGGTCTACCTTCATCTCCTTCCAAATACCCCAACTACAAATTTATCTACCCATCTATTGAGCACAATCTCTACCCTTTATTATCGATGTTCAGAATGGCAAAGTTAACCTTTAATTAATTTACCTTAAAAAATGTCACACCTATAATTCTTCAAATATAATCATTCTTTAAATTATCCTTCCTTTTTTATTTCGCACATGCAGCTTAGCATTATCATTTTGGTCCTACTCAACTTGATTATCAATCACGTTCTGTTGTTCAAGGCTCAGTTTGACTCATCGCTGAGTTAAAAAAGAATATTGGGTCAACCAGAAGAACGGAATATACCTACTCAAGTAAAAGTCCAAAAACTAATGTTGAACTTGATCATGCAAAATGAATTGAAGAAGAGTTTGAGCAAATAAAAAAGAAATTAAAAATAACAAAAATGAACCAAAACAAACACGCTTATCTTGAATAATGAAAAAAATAATGCATTTTCTCAATATCAAAATTGTGAAGCATTCGATATAGAGGCTCCAAGAAGATTTGGACATATCATCCTAATCAAATAAAATAAATTAAACTAAATACATGCCTCGAAAAAAACGCTGAACCTAACCAAGGATCAAGACTAATTAAGAGATCTGCCTCCCGTTAAATTCATTGCCTACAAGGAAGATGATAGCTTTATATAAAATTTATGTTGATATTAATCTAAATATGCAAGCATGAAACTGAGGAGGCTCAACACAAGAAATGGATGGCATGGCGAGCTAGTGGACCATGCCCCAAACATAAACTCATTGACAATGATCAAATTCTCATCTTCATCTCAAAATAGAAATTTGAGTGGAAACAAGCATGAGTAAGATGAGGAAAACATAACAACAATGGACACGAAGCTCTCAAAGTTCCAATGGACCCTTACAATAATAAATCAGCTGAACTCTTTAAGTTTTTCAATTAAAATCCTCTGATGAGACCTATTAAAAAGACTTGATAAAATATCATAAATGTCGCCTTCAAAAGCAAGGACTAGTTGATGTAGAATAGGGAAGGAAGCCTAGAAGAAACTAGAATGGCGTAAAAAGAATAGGCATTAGGGTTTCTTCTTCCTCAACTCCTTGGACTCTGGAGAGTGTGATAAGATAAATGGGCATGGCTTGAACTCTCTTGAGCAAATAGCTCTTTTAAGACTAAAGATCGTGAAAAAAAAGAAGAAAATAGAAAATAAAAAACATGGCTTGAACTCTCTTGAGCACATTGCTAGGTAATCTTTTGGTTTCTCTAATAGCAAAAATCTCAATTCACTCTGTTTTTTATTGCTCCAATTCCCTAGTATATCTGACTTCCCTCATAGTCTTACTTAACTTTGGCATATTCTGCATCAAAAAATAGTCTATTAAATATTTAATGCCCTAGTAAACCAAAACTTTGTTGTCAAAATCTAATCACTTGGTTCACAGATAATAACATGCAACTGAAGAAATCGGAGTGTTTAAAAGGACATCAAAACAAAATTAACTATTAGTTAGGGAATCCATACGGGTTTTCTCATATGACTTGTTAATAAAAGATTATCAAATTTGTCAATACAGTTCTCCAAACTACATATTATAATAACAAAAAGTTTGAGTTGTGCAACTTTATGCAAATGCAAATAGCTTCACCTTCCATCAAGGAGACTAAAACATTATTTCTTATGGCATTCTCAAGGCAATTATGAAATTTAAAACTTATGAAAACCCAAGGTCAGTGTTCCATGTATGAGCTTTATGAGGTATGCAAGAGTGAAATAAAATTATAAAATCATGTGATAAAAAACATCATAGTTCACCAAATTAAAAAAAAAAACATAAAGAGGAAAAAAAACCAATGCTGTCAGAACAATAGCTGAAGTGCACTAAAATATGCAAAAATCGTGAGATCTATTTGAACAAACATGACATGCATAACCCATTTGTGGATGGGCATACCTCATGTAAATAAGTAAAAGTCAGTCTCCATTGAATAAAAAAACATGAATGAAACAAATAGCACAAGAAATAACTACAGATATATATATAAATTAAACTCACAAGAAAGAAGTCCTGCGAGTCATAAAAGATTTGAAGTATATGCTCACGTTTTTCCTCCAGAGACAGGCCCCTTCTCTTTGACTAAAAAAAGGAGGAAAAAAAATGTTAAATTCAGAAAATATAAAATTATAAAATGGTGTAAATTTTAAGAACATTAATAGCATTATATTATATAATTATGGTTAAGTTTCATTCCAACGGTATATATTGTTTTATATTGATGCTAAAATATAATATGTATATTGAACAAACACTCACCCACCCAATCCAATCTCATAAAACAAGGATTTTATCATAGGATATTAATGATAAATAAAAATGGGAAAGCAAAATGAAACGAATGAAACTAAATACTGGTTCTCAGAACAAATGAAAAGTCATTAGAGGAACTATTGCTAAATGATAAGGATGTATATATAAGATTGAAATGAGGAAATACAATCTACAAATTTTTAGATTTGAAGATAGATGGTATAAAATATTACATTATCAGTATATGCTCAGGTGGTTACTTTTGTAAACTAACAATTTCAAAAATTAAATAGGAGTTCTGTCTTTATGTCATGTAGATGTCAGTAAATAATGGTAGCATCAAGAAGCCAAGATATTCAATGGTTCAAAATAAAGGAAATTTTACATAAGTTGCACACAATTTCTATGTATTTACATATCTCACGCCTAAAATTTCATATTTACTTATACAGCACTTCAATTGAGTGCCATGAGTGTAAATATGAAAGTTCAGCTGTGAGCATGTAAATGCATAAGAATTGTATGCTACGTATGTAAATGTCCCTAACATAAATGACACCAAGAAACAATGATCATAACCAACATTGATTATTCTAAATAACAATTGATTATCTGAATAACAATTTTTTGTATGGCATAAACTGAACCAAACAAAATGCATTTTTAGATATCATTGTTAATTGAATTTCAACATTAGCAAAATAGTGCTGTTATATTAATATAATATTGATTCAAATAGTTCTCTAATGTTAATAACTTGTGCTTAACTATTAATGGTTACGGAACAGCGAATAATTCGTGAATGGTTCATTTATGGAAATCAAAAGAATGGTCAAGCAGCTCATTTAGACTACAAACCCAAATCATTGAAAGCCTTAATAGACCCAACTAAATAAGTAGGAGCCTAAGTGGACCAACCTGATGGACTTAATGTGGTCGTGTAAGCTTATACATTTTTCAAAATTATCCCAAAATTTCTTATCCATCATCACCATTGACCAACAGCTTCGCTAATCCTTCAACATCAATTTTATCAACCCCCTTAGTTGGTGTATTTTTAACCATTTTTGTTATATGCAAACTACTAAAGTTCATTTTCAATTAATCTATCACCCATAGATGTCATTCCAACTTCTAAATAGAACCATTCATTAATTTGCCGTTCCTATCTTTAGTACATATTCATCTTAACACTGATCTCCACCACACTCAACTTCTAAAAAAACCTTTTTACTATCCAATAATCCAATCCCTGTAAAAAGAACATAGTGAAAGTAAATCATACATCATAAATAAAATCAGTAAATAACATAATGATCAAAGAATTGAGCTGAATCAAAGAAAACAGATAGAGTGATTAGATGATATAAGATTTAAGCTTCACGAGTATGACATAAAATTTTATATTTTTATATTTTATATGTTCTTTTTTTTATGACCCATACAGCTTCAATCTTGAGCAAAGCTCTTAAAATAAAGGCCTGCAGTACATTAAAAAAATTTAAAAAAAAAATCCATATATTTAGTGTTCATTCGTTTTACATCCAATCTCTTTATTAGCATTAACATTGTATCATTATAAATAACCGATAGTTCAATAATTTCTTTCCTCAAATATTAAAGCACATTAAGATGCTGGAAAAACAAACCAAATAAATGGCTACAAAATATTAAGGATAATAATAAAAAATGACTGTAACCAAAAGTGTAACTATACCATCAAACAACTCTTCAGTCCCCCCTTTTCGTTTCAGATGCTTACCGCAAATCAGGATTGGCAAAAACAATTCAAATGCATCGCAAATTTACTGGCTCGTTCGATTCAACGTAATTTACAGGTCACCATTATTATAATGTAAGTGTCATTAGAGTTCAGTACTAATCTCTCAATTTTTGATTGAGTTTTATTATATTTAAAGATTCAGTGCTTCGAATATTAGAGTTCCCTGGTAAGTTTTATCCCTTAACAGAGTCTTCAAGCTTCGGTGGCCATGAACTTGTCCCAGTTTAAATCATATATCAATGAATTAACAAAAATCACGGTAATCAAGGTTGCATCCACTAATACAATGACTGCAACGAAATCTAAAAATATAGCAAAAATGGATGCTGGAGAAGGGTGCTCATGCAGGATAAAAGCCGATCGATCAAGTGGATGCATTGACGTTAATCGCACAACTTTGGACGCCGAGATGTGAATATCAGGTTAGCAACAACATTTTTTTCAGTAGATTACCATGAATGCGTCGAGCGTTAAGAGATACGGACAGGAGTGACGGCGACTGTAGATGAACTGGAAGAACACGAACCGTTCTCGTAAGCAGAGGAGAAGTATGCAACAGAAAGAAGCGGAAGCTGTAAAGTGTAGAAGAATCGGGAGCTCGGAGCAGGAGCCGGAGAAGGAGACGGAAGTGAAATTAGAGAGCAGAGACGTTAGGGCAACGTAGACGCCGGTGAACTGACGGAAGATAGCGTCGTCATCTAGTTTTTTGGAGGGAAAAAAATTAATTTAATATCAAATTTAAGTGATTTAGTCGTAAATATATTGTGTGATATGCATTTAAATTTTATAAAGAAATCATTGATATATAATTTTTTATATTTAAGCGTTAAAAATTTGAATTGTATAATTTTAAATATTATATATGTATGCAAGAAAAATGACAGCACAAATCTCAAATTAATGGAACAGTTGAGATGATGATCATACAATTGAAGTCTTGAACCATAAAGCATAATCTAAATCAGCCCATATGACGACCGGCTACTCGGTTGAGTATACCGACATAAGATGTCAACGGGTCTAGTCGGCGAACCATGCTTACTTTCTCAACTCCATGAGCTTCTCATTGGGTCAGTAGGTCAAAACTAATGGACCGATTGTTTTCCCTCCACGGAAGCAACCTTCATGCGACCAATCGTCTCGACTTATTGAAACAAACTCGTCTATCAATTTATAGTCGTTGTACTTCACTTAAATTGTAAGGCAGATTTGATATTAAATTATAGCATTATTTGCATTTAGGGTGATTCCCATAAATGTTCCTTCATTTACATAATTGTACAATTAGGTCGACGTCAAAAATTAAGAAAAGACTCCTTGTGGGGTTTATTTGAAGTATCACAATAGATCTCACATGATTTCTATCTAAATGATCAAATGCGGCATTTGAAAAATAACATACAATCTCAAAAGATAGAGACGTTATCTTTATAATTGATTCAATCATTTGGATGAGAGATATCTTTAGGGTATACGGAACCAACATTCTTCCATTACCTTATAGATATAAGATCAAGGTTTATATTAATTATGAAGTCATGTTTCTATAAGGGTAAGTTCTTACAGTTAATTACATCTTTAAAACCGTGGGTCCTAAAGAAAACCTCTCAATTGATGCAATCAGTCAAGCTGTCGGAAATCGAACTTTCATGATTTTAGGAAATTAAGTTCACATGATGGGACTTACATTCCGATGAAGACACGTCATAAGAAATGACCAAGGCGAGAGATTTGTTTTTTAAGAGTACCGATTGAAGGAATTGACGGTAAACTAGAACTGATCGGATCAGGTCAAAAGATAAATGATGAATATAGGATTTGACTGAAGGATGACAATTCAAAACCCTATACTAAGGATAGTGTCGGATAGGAAAGTGGACTAACTTAAATTTTGAGAATAACGTCCCCGATCAATATGCCCATAACTTTCTGTCATTTGGGAATGTTGGTATACATTAATTATGACCAGTCTCATAACCGATAATACCTCTTAAATGTCAGAGCGTGGATGATTCGTAGTTTCGAAGCAGTCTAAAACACATTCGTTAGTAACCATGAGTTATTCATTCTAAGGTGTTCCCTCTGGTTTCAGTGAGTGGGTAAGTTGTTTAGCATGTCCTAATCATTAACACTAACTAGGTACGTGAACTAAATCAGGCTTTTATGCTCGTATTATCTTCGGGTAAGTGTGTTGCCCTTGGTTTGGTGTTTAAGTTAGCTAGCCTAAAGTTGATGTCGGATTTGCCTAGGTTCAGTTTTCATTCTTTATCTTGTTGTGTTTTAGATGTTCATTTGAAGTTTAGTATTTACATTAATTTTTTTGTTCGGTCCCGAGGTTTTGACAGTCATGTTAAGAAATCAGTGGTTTTCTACATTTTTAGTTTTGTTTTTTTGAATCTTCGTGTCAGACTGAGATGATAATCTGCTACTATAATATCGCAAATTTTCTAGCACTCATCAAATTATATATATATATATATATATATATAATATATTAATTAATTAATTTATTTTTAAACATGAAATAACACGTTAAATAACATTTAAAATATATGATAGCACCCGATACATGAGATAATATATAGAACGTGAGATAACATGAAAATAACATGTATTTTTAGCTTTGGGTTATACTTGGGTTAAGATTAAGGTAAGCTAAATCTTCCAGCTTAGGTTGGCTCAGAATTGAGTTAAGGTATGACATGGGTTAGCTAGCTTGACTCTGGATTGGATATATATTTTCAGAGATTAAGCTGAGTTTGACATAAATTGACCCGAGTTAAGCTAGGTTGACCCATATTGAGTTGGGTTTAATTTGGTTTTGATCTTAATTAAATTGGGTTGACCTAGATTAGCTTAGATTTGAATTGGGTATGACCTGGGTTAAGTGGGGTTAACTTGGGTTAAGCTAGGTTAACCCGAGTTATCTTATATTTGAATTAGGTTAGAGTCGGGTTAAGTTGGGTTGTCTCGGGTTGGGTTTGGGTTTGACCTGAGTTAAGTTGAGTTGACCCGGGTTAACTTAGATTTGAATTTGGTTTGACCTATGTTAAGCTGGCTGACTCGGGTTGGGTTTGGGTTTGACCCGGGTTAGCTTATATTTGAATTGGGTTTGGGTTGGGTCAGACTTGGGCAAGGTTTGGTTCAAGTCCAGGTTGGGTTAGACCTGGGTTAAGTTAGTTTTGAGTCAGACTTTGGTTAGATTGGGTTTTGGGTCAAACCTAAGTTATGTTAGGTTCGGCTTGGGCCAGACCTGGGCTATGTTTGGTTTAGGATTGGCTAAGTTTAGTCTATACATAGGTTGGGTTAGGTCTGGGATTGGAGTTTAGGCTAGAACTAGGTTGGGTTAGGTCTAGAATTGGGTTTAGCCCAACAATTTTGAGTTAAGTCAGTTTCAGGTCGACATGAGTCAAACCTAAACCCAAGCCTGATCTAAGGCCTTTGAGTTGATTATCTTAACCCAGAATCAACTTAATCAACTTAAGTATTTTAATTAAAAAATGCTTAAATTAAAAAGAGGGAGGAAGTACTTACTGAGAGGAGAGGAGGCTAACCGGAGAAGGAGGAAGAAGTTCGCCAAAATACCTTCTATGCTATTTGTGCTTAAAGTTTGAGAGTTCAGATTCATCACTGCATGGATGCTCTCCCGAAAGCTGTTAATCTATAGGCTCAGAAGGCGATGGAAGAGCCCTCCGGAGTCGTATGATGAGGTGGCAACCGATCATGACGATCAGCCCGTTGATTGAAGAGCCATGGATCACCACCGGTGAAAGGGCACAATGACTCGTGGCCTGATCCGTGGAGCCACAGATTGCTGACATGTGAAGCCAATTTGCTTGACCACGCTAAGAAACTTGAACTTTCGGGTGCGGTCACGCCTGGGCTTGACGTGACCATGCCGAGGTAGTTATGGGAGTGGTCATGCCCAAGCTTGGCGTGACCACACCAAGCCAAAGTTGGGCATTTTTTAGATTTTGGCCAATATGGCTGCACCGGACCGAGGGAAAATGTTCGCATAAGTCCTATGTGACCCAACCCCCCCCCCCCCTGTGAAGCCAATTTGCTTGACCACGCTAAGAAACTTTCGGGTGCGGTAACGCCTGGGCTTGATGTGACCATGCCGAGGTAGTTAAGGAAGTGGTCACGCCCAGGCTTGGCGAGACCACACCAAGCCAAAGTTGGGCATTTTTTAGATTTTGGCCAATATGGCTGCACCAGACCAAGGGAAAATGTTCGCATAAGTCCTATGTGACCAAACGCCCCCTCTCCCCGCCGAAATTAACTTTTCGCTCTACTCTCTGTCCTTCTCTTTCTCTCGACACTTATTCTTGAGGTGTATACTTGTTTTCATTTCTTTCTCATTTTATTTTTAAAGCAACAAGTCACCTTTGCCTTTTCGCGGAGGTGGTTGGGAAGACTTGATGACTAGCATTTCCTTCAAACTCTTTTAAACAATCCCAATACCTTCAACAATCAGGTCATGTTGGCTCTTGACAATCACACCCATGTCAGGCTTAAGATCCAATGTTTCTGGGTGAGGCTTTTTCAGCGTCAGGCCCTCAAGACCATCGTATGAGTCGACTTGATCGATTGACGCAGGTTTGGGTCTCAATCTTTTCTCTTTCATTACAACCTTCTTCTTCTTTACGGTTTCTACGGAGGTAAGGACCCGAAAGCCTATCATAACCAGAAATTGGGCATCCATATTATCCTGACTTGTACCAACAACCATGATGTCCCTCGACCTGTTGGGAAGTGTTGGCAAAAAACGATGCAATGCCAACCCTATGGTCCAATTTATAGGGCTCACTGCGCATGAAACCCAAATGAATGTTGGTTATTAAATTAATTTTCTCAGTTTTGGTGTCACTCATTGTTTTATAATTTACATGTTCTTATCGTAGTTGTCGCTATCAAGGTGAATGAAAAGCTCGAGAAAATTAGTATGCATGCTCCAACATTGCTAGCAAGAACTTCAAATGGATAGAGCAGCTGAAGATGATGACCAAACAATTAAAGTATCAAACCAAAAAGTATAATATGAACCAGCTCATCTGGTGACTGTTTTGCTAGATTGAGTCTGCTGACATACGACACTGACATATCCAGTTGGCAGATCTTGCTTACGATCCCAACTACCTAAGCTTCTCATAGGGTTAGCCAGCCAAAACTAGTTGACCAACCGTTTTCCCTTGACGAGAGCGACCTTCATGCGATTGACCATCTCGGTTGGCCAAACCCAATGCTCTACCGATTGATAGTTGTTGTACTTCACCTAAATTGTAAAACAATTTTTTATTAAACTAGTGCATTAATTGCATTTACAGTGGTTACCATAATTGTTCCCTCTTTTCCATAATTGTACAATTATGCCCCTATAAATAGGAGGTCAAAAAATGAAAAAAGGAACCCCCTCCACTGAATTCTCTCTACTTGCTCTCCTTCTTTTTCTCTTCTCTCTAATTCTCGAGGTGTGTACTTTCAAAGGACAATTTGGGATCCAATTGTATAATAAATTATTCTTTGAAATAATATATAATTTACATATATTGCCCCCATTCATTGTTGGTCCATTGCCACTTTACCATTAAGAACATTTGATTATCATGACATGATTGTAATAAATTTTTGAAGTTATTCTTCATTACAAATAAACCAACGCGAATTTGATAATGGG